TGTTTTGTTTTGTTTTGTTTTTGTTTTTTGGTGCTGAGGATCAAAACCAGGGCCTTGTGCATGCAAGGCAAACACTTTACCAACTGAGCTATATCCCTAGCCCTTAACATAGCAGTTTTTAAAATGGAGGATTTACTGTTCAAAGTTTTTCATGATTTTTTTTTTAATGAACTTTAAACCTGAAGTTTAAACGTCACGTTGGAGAACAAGAAGAGGATACTAATTTGTGGATTGGATACTGTGCTTTTCACCTGGGTGACTACAAGAGAGCTTTAGAGGTTAGTAAAATTAAAAAACAGTCTAACAGGAATGTGTTTAAAATATTATTAAACTTTGTATTATAATAACATCTATTCAGGTAAAATTCAAACAGTATGGAGGGAAACAAAGTAAAAACAGAAAACCAAAATCACCCTATCTGCTGTCCCCTGTCCTACTTCTTTATTAATAGAGGTCCCCACTGGCTTTTTAAAAAATGTATTGATTTAAGCTGGGCAGGATATTACACACCTGTAATCCCAGCGGCTCAAGGAGGCTGAGGCAGGAGGATCATGAGTTCAAAGCCAGCTTCAGCAAAAGCGAGGCACTAAGCAACTCAGTGAGACCCTGTCTCTAAATAAAATACAAAATAAGGCTGGGGATGTGGCTCAGTGGCCACTATTCAATTCCTGGTACCAAACCCCCCAAAATAAATAAATAAAATGTATTGATTCAGAAATCTATATATGTATTCCAGCGTGTGAGTATGCATCTTGTTAAGAATTTCACTTTTATTTTGCTTGGTTATTTTCAGGCAATAAACAAGATTGTATGATATTTATRTAATTTTTTTATTATTGTAAGTATCATTTCTTTGTTAATAATTTTTCTTGATCATTGCAAACCCTACCCCATCTGCAATGATTAATACGTAGGAATATGGTTCTAAATAAAATTATAGATGCCTTATGTCAAGCAATTTTTATTTATAAATGAAATTGCTGAAACATTTCCCACGTATTCTTATTCAAAATGTAACCTAAAAGGCTGGGGTTGGGGCTGGAGATCAGGTTAGAGTGCTCATCTAGCATGTGSGGGGCGCTGGGTTTGATCCTCAGCACCACATAAAATGAATAAATAAAATAAAAGTATATTTAAAAAGTTTTTAAAAAGAATTTGAAGACTGCATAACAGAAATTAAAATATCCAAGGCCAGGTAATGAGGAGGTAAGTTGAAGAACAAAGGAAACAAGATTCTTGAAGGAAAAAGAAATATGTAAAGGACAGAATG